CAAGGGAGATAGAGAGAGATAGATAGAGATAGATAGATAGAGAGAGAGACACGGAGAGATAGATAGATAAATAGAGAGAGACAGAGAGAGAGAGAGAGAGAGAGAGAGAGAGAGAGAGAGAGAGAGCAAACGTTGGATCGAAAGATGAGAAAATAAGATTCAAAATCCGATTTGATCCAACTGACCGACCCGTGAATCCGTGTGTATGTTAATTCTGTCTGACCCCAACCTTTTCGTCGGATTTATAACTGTCTATGTAGAATTGCTGATTTTCCGGATAAATCAGTAAACACGGATTTCCGAATGGAAGTGGTCGCACTTTGCCCGACCGTAGGCTGATCGCCGTCTTGTCTGTTGTAAATATTATATTCCTGCTTACTGACATTTAGTTCTATCTTAATATCTGTGTGCCAATTCATATTATGATGTGATTCGTTGTCCTCCCGTTAAGCGCCATTGACCCTGTACATCCGTCTTTGGTGATATGTTTCATTTTTGGGCATGGCATATTGCACTTCATGTGAGAAATAATTGTTATGCAAGTTGTATAAAACAGAATGTATGATCTGCAGATTATGTGTCCGCACGCCCGTTTCCGCAGGTGTCCGAAATACCTTGTAGGTTATATATATTTTTTTTTCGTTGCCAGTGGTTGTCTCTGACGAGTGCAGCGAAGCACCAGATAAATTTGGTAATAACTCATTGAGGACGCGCATTCTTGTTATTCGATAGTCCAATCACTGTTCATTTTGTTCGCCCCCTGCTCTCAAAAACAAACCCATCTCGGAACCACTTCTCGGAACCACTGCGGAACCACTGCAGTGGTTCTTCTCTAGGAGAGCCCTGTCTTATTAACTCTTTGAGGTCCCACTGCTGAAGTGATTGGGTGTATTCCCTCTGAGGGAATTTTTTAAACTTTAAGGCAATGTGACTGTCTTTGTTTTGATTTTTTTTAAACCTTTGAAATGCACTTGTTCACACTAGCTTCGCTTTTCATCCTGCTTCACTGTTGCGGTCACAAGGTTGAGTATTTATAACATCTTGATTTCCTGTCCTTAAAGAAAATGACAGGATGGTTTAATGAATCACAGCTATATCTGATTCCGCATAAGTTGGAGACTGATGAAGATAAGTTTCTCATGACGTCGAATTTCTTTTTCCCTTTTTACTCTTGTTCTGTGAGATGTGTCACGTGTAATTATAGCTCCTTCAGTGACTCACCTTCTTTTTCACTGCGATTATGTTCACCTTTCATTTTTTAATAAGCCAATTACTATAGCAGGAACGATAAATATTGCGTCGTTACGATAACAGCCTTACCCGAGTGCGCTTTCGCTTACCCTGAGCTGTGACACATATAGTCGCCGTATGTATGTCACAATTCACTAGAAAGGGGGCGGATGAAAGAGAGG